ATAGATATACTATGGTATCTTGAGTTGCAATGGTGGAAACCAGATTCACAGAACACAATAAAAAACCGTCCTATGTCACCTAATGATGACAAAACCTTGTACATTTGTTGTTATGTTAAACTTATATTAAAGTTTTTCTTCATTACCCATTCAAGCCGTCTCCAAGCATTATTAGTCTCAAGTGGGTTCCTCGTCATCGAACTTGTAAACCAATCTTAAGTCTTAAACGACCAAAAAAGTCGTAACTCACTGTATAGGAAACTGGAATATGAGTTATCCGTAATATGTTATTTGACAAAATTAGTTTAGAGGTGAGCTACGTCTTTGCAAAAAATAGTAAAATGTAAAGAATATGAACAAACACATATGATCGGAAGTTAATAGATTAGGTCTTTGCCTTCTCAAATTGCTTATGGCATATTTAATTAAGATGTGTGTCTGTTCTATGAAAGTTGCTATGTCAACTTCTGCGCATGGTTAACACGTGATTTGATCGTGGTAATGAAAAACATGTTTTCTTGTTTCCTCAAGCGATTGAACAATTTCGAACATCTGATGTGTGTGTGTGAGAGAGCAATTGAATTTGACAACAGGTGTGGCTAGGATTATGAAGATAATTTTTGTTTATAATTGAACGGTCACTTCGGAAAAAAAATCGTATTTATATGAAGATACGTTAACATTTGTTATAACCCTTTTGCAAGTTTAATTGTGGTACTGCTTTAAAATTAGCAGTTTTTTTTTTCTGATTTAGTGGTGGGGCTTTGATCGATATAGGTTTTGAAACAAGAAAAAGCGATATTTAGTTTTCCTACACCTAGCGATAACCGTTCGTTGTTGTGAACTCTATGTAGAAAATAAAAGAGCAGTCTTAAGTTAGTTTCACATACGGAGGAAGGTACGTATTAAATCTCCTGATTCGTTTTTTTTTAACATTCATTATTTTCTGGAATATTTTACTTTAATCTCTAATCTGATTATGGTTGTATACTGAACCAAACCAAATAAGGATTTTCATATTTAAGTTATGGTTTGCTGCTTCGTAAGTATGAATTGAACTCACGAAATAGCCAGAATGCAAAACGTTGTCCATCGAAAAATCGACTCAATTCTGAAGTCATTATTTTCTTAAACGTGCCCGAGATTTGTTTGTTTGTTTGTTATGAATTTCGCGCAAAGCTACACGAGGGTTATCTGCGCTAGCCGTTACTAATTTACCAGTGTAAGACTAGAGGAAAGGCAGCTAGTATCACCACCCACCGCCAACTCTTGGGCTACTCTTTTACCAACGAATAGTGGGATTGACTGGTACATTATAATGCCCCACGGCTAAAAGGGCAAACATTTTATGGTGTTACGGGGATTCGAACCCGCGACCCGCAGATGGCGGGTAGAACACCCTACTCACCAGGCCTGCCGGTCCCCGAGATCAGTTAAATATTTCATAAATCATTGTAAGTATTTCCTTTCTTCTAAGCAATATAATTATTCCAAACACACGTAGATATTAACGTAACATCTTTTAATCAACACTATTTCCTCCAGTGGCTCAGCCGTAACCTCGAGGGCTTAAACGCTAAAATTGGAGGTTCGATATCCGTGGTAGGCACAGAGCAGATAGTTCTTTGTGTAGTTTTAAACACAAAAAACAAACAAACAAATTTCAACACTATATATATATATATATTTTATATTTATTAAATTACAAAAGCATATCTTATATATGTAAATAAATATTAAATATATATTTTGTACAGTTAGAAATAACTTCGAAGAATATTAAAAAAAAGTAAAGAGAAGTAAAATTAAAGTTGTTATAAATTTAATGAAATATGTTCCCGAAGGAAACCGAATATCTGATTTTGCAAGATTAATTTGAATTATATTCCTTGCTATTTTTATGAACTGATCTAGAAAACATACAAAAATATGTGAACCAGAAAGCTGGTGTACAAGTTATTTAATTAAACGTCACCTGGTGGGACAATAGTAATTGCTAAATTACAACGCTAAATCTGCGCTACAAACCGAACAAACAACAAGCAAACAAGTGAAGAGGATATTCATTTTTCAGTAGTGTTGCAGACAATATAAATGATATCTGAAAAATAATTTTTCTGTATTTTGGTTAAGTCGAAACTGAAAAAAAAAAATACAGTAACTTTTCTGTCAGTTACCGGATTCAAACCAAGAACATTCAAATATGTAGTTTTATAAAATATGGAATTCCGAACAATAATTCGGGCCTCATACTGCCCTTTGAACTACTTCCATTGTCAACAGTGCTCAATCTGATGACCATAATTATATTTATTGCTAGACAAAGAATTTTGTTTGTAACAAGCTTCTGCGTAGGTCTACTACGTTAGTCATAGACTACACATCTTTCCACAGAAGTTTACTTTATGTGTACGTCGGTTTACAAAGCTATGTTCAACCAGATCAAATCTACAAAAGTCGGTTGCAACTGCATCGGGAAACTAGTTCGAATGGGATTGCTATGATACCTAAACTAAACTAACTGGCAGTTATTTTGAGGAGAATTTTCAGGAGTAATAATTAGTCACCAGGGGCGCTCGAAAATTGAGCAATTTTCATTCACCCCGCAATAGGCTTATGATTAAAAATTAGCACGGGGTAAGGCTTTTACAAGCTGATTGAGCTTATTTTTACAGGGTTGTTTAAAAAAAATGAGCCTGGCAGGCACAAATGAAGTTGAAGAATATAAGTCGACAACGGGCCTTACCAGTGCCTGGCAGGGATCAATAAATCCAAGCCCCAACGCTGGGATCTATAGATCCAATGCCTCAAGAATTTTGGTGTGGGGGAGAACCGGGAGTACTCTGAGAAAACCCACTTTCACTAACCAGGACCGAATAAAGCCCAACTAGTGCCCGAGTGAAGAGCTAGTAGAGGTAGGAGAACCTGAAAATAAACTAAAAAGACTGTGTTTGGTTATTTTTCTCATGAAAATAACCGTGTGATTTTGAGGTGTGACTGGAAGATCTTGTGAATCTTCAACGTTTGACTTTTTGTTAAATCGAAATCTTTGTTTATTATCTTGCTAAAGATATTCCCATCGTCATCACAAAGGCTTTTTCGATCCTGAAGTTTCTCTTCTGTGACAATAGCGAAGGCATTTCTCCAAATAGACTTAAGGTATTCCCATCGTCATCACAGAGGCTTTTTCGATACTGAAGTTTCTCTTCTGTGACAATAGCGAAAGCATTTCTCCAAATAGACTTAAGGTGTAATTTTGGAATCCTTTCTTCCCCCAAGTGCTCTGCTGTGGGAGTTATTTCACTTCCAGGAAGAACATTGAAAACTCCCTTTATGGTCATGTGTCGTTTAGTTATCTAGCTATACGAATATCTTATCTTCTCGAAAGGGATGTGACAAATTCCTTCAAGCCATAAATTTATCCTTGGGGTCATTGTACTGTTGAATGGTCGGAAATTCAACGTCAACCAAATACGTGGGTGCCAAACATGTAGCATGAGGAGGTAAACAACTCACATTTGCGTCAACGAATACAAATCGTTCGTGTAAAGTACGATTAATCTTCTATATAGAATTAAGAAACACAAATTTAACAAAGACACACTTGCTAAATATAAAACACAGTCTATAAGAAACAAAAAAATAATGGAAACACAAATAAAACACGGTCTATAAGAAACAAGAAAAAATAATGCAGATATAAGCAATAAATATGGAAAACAAGCTGACAAAATTGTGTTTGTTCGTGTGAAAGACATATCTTAATATAAGGAAATTCTTAAGTTGGTTTCTATTCAAATGTAATAAAAACTGTTTTAAGGCAGTAAAAACTCTAAACAAAACCAGTACCACAAGCGATAGTTTCAGAGTTGGTCACTTTTTTATCGTATAAATAACGTTCTTACTAAGGTTCAACTTAATCTGTTTATTAGAGTAAAAATAAAATACGAGGTCTGTACGTTTCGAGTTTACTTTCTGTTCTAGTGAACAAGTTTGGAGGAATCTTTGTAAATACATGCTCTGCATATACTAATTTTATCATACAAATTTATGTAACTGAAATTAATCGTACGCAGAAGATGTAGGCCAATCTAAATCAAACTAACATTTAAGGTAATTTTATAAATTACTTTGATTTTGAAATTAAGGTTAGTCGAAAGAACAAGTTTGGTTCTTAAACTTGTTCATAATGTAGTTTCCGAAAGGTAATTAATTTTAATGATTTTTCTAATAAGCTTACTAGTGTAAAATGATCTGAATTACTTTCCAATTTTCTGTAACAGTGCACTCTACGAATAATGAATACCATAGTTATTGTTGTCGTCTGTAATCCAGGTGGCTCAGCAATAAAACTTAGGGCTTGTAAAGTTAAAAATTGGATTTCGATACTCGCATTGGGCAAAGTGCAGACAGTCGAATATACCACAAAGGAATTCTGGGAAACAAAAGCTAAACTTATGCTTAGTTTGTCGTGACAAACGATCTCATGCTAACCATAAAAACACCATCCTGTCCTTAAACTGATACATAATGAAAGCGCACCCTAATTTTATGTCGACAAACAGAAAAACAGTATTCTAGTCCCATGACGATACATAAACGAACGGCATCATACAGAGAAACAAAATAACGACACCCTGACTTACAAACAAACAGTATTCTAGTCCCATTTCGATACATAAACGAACGGCATCATACAGAGAAACAAAATAACGACACCCTGACTTACAAACAAACAAACAGTATTCTAGTCCCATATCGATACATAAACGAACGGCATCATACAGAGAAACAAAATAACGACACCCTGACTTACAAACAAACAAACAGTATTCTAGTCCCATGTCGATACATAAACGAACGGTATCATACAGAGAAACATAATAACGACACCCTGACTTACAAACAAACAAACAGTATTCTAGTCTCATATCGATACATAAACGAACGGTATCATACAAATAAACATAATAACGACACCCTGACTTACAAACAAACAGTATTCTAGTCTCATGTCGATACATAAACGAACGGCATCATACAGAGAAACAAAATAACGACACCCTGACTTTATAACTATGAATCAACAAATGACACTGTGATCTTTTACCGATAAACAAACAAACATAATTCTGATCTCAAATCGACAAACAAACCAATGGCACCCTGGTCTCTTAATCACAAGCAAAGAAATGCTATCATAAACTCGTATCGATAAATAAACAAATGACACTCTAGCCTTATAGTGAGAAACAAATTAAGGCTGAGCTTACATAGACAAACATATTGCGCATGAGGGCAATCATAACATCAGTTTTTATCTTTTATCCAAACAGGGGAATACAGCTGTTTAAAATCTGAATTCAACCTGCAGAGATCAATCGGCTACCACCTTGTCCAGTCGTATCTCCCTACCATTCTTATTGTGGTGATCTCTTGGGTATCCTTCTGGCTGGACGTTGAGGCTATCCCGGCTCGGATTACACTCGGAGTGACCACACTACTGACTATTTCTTCCAAAGGCTCTGGGATCCAGAGTAACTTGCCTCCGGTATCGTATGTAAAGGCTATCGACGTGTGGATGGGTGCCTGTACTACTTTTGTCTTCGCTGCTCTATTGGAATTTACTTTTGTCAACTACTTGTGGAGGAAACGAGTGATCATGAAGACTCCTGGTGATGGGACCAGAAATCAGATTTCTTTGAAACTGGTAGGTACTATTGAAGTAAACGAGTGTTTCAATTTTTGTTAATATGTGACTTTAAAAGCTGTAAATACCTCTTATCGGACAACTAAACTACCACCTTTTCCGTCCATGCTTACTGGATAACCAAACTATCACGTCCTCTGTTCATGCTTACCTGACAAACAAACCACTAGGTATCCTGTCCATGCTTACCGGCAACCAAACTACCACGT